CCTGAGTTACCTGGTAGCTATGCCTAGTGACACCAACAGTTCTACTATAATCTGAGATTGAGGCAAATTTAAAAAAACAAATGTCTGAAGTGCTTACTCTCACTATCATTTTGGTCATGTACTCCAGCTATTGAATACAGAATGCTTTTCTGATTGGGATCTTATGATTTTTGCCTTTATAAAAAGTAAAAGCATTGATTTGCTAGCTGGTATGCTGCCAAAATACAGTAGCACCTTAAAATGAAAGTTATCAGCACTACTTTATTAATGCTTTTAACATTGACATGGAGAGTCAACAGCTCATTGTGTCAGTATCAATTTAATGTACAGGGGGCCTGCTCTGTGAATGACAGTTATATTGATAGTGAAGTATTAGAACCTCATTCTTTCAGATACTTTTAATTTAAATCTACCAATTGGTCACAAGTAGGCTGGACAAGCCAGTTGTTGATCAGTCAAATAATGTCAGTTGATTGCCTATTTGACCACAGCCTACTTTTTTTTTTTTTTTTTTTTTGATGCATCTGTTAGCAAGTCTACTTAAATGTCTTGATCATTCATTTTACTGCATGCTAATGCGACCTGTTGGGAAAAATTTGAACTAAGTGAAAGTTGAGCATATTGGTTGGCTGGAATCTTCTAGAACAGGGGTTGGCAACCTTTCAGAAGTGGTGTGCCGAGTCTTAATTTATTCACTCTAATTTTAAGGTTTTGTGTGCCAGTCATACATTTTAACATTTTTAGAAGGTCTCTTTCTAGAAGTCTATAATATATAACTAAACTGTTGTATGTAAAGTAAATAAGGTTTTTAAAATGTTTAAGAAGCTTCATTTAAAATTAAATTAAAATGCAGAGCCCCCCCCAGACCAGTGGCCAGGACCTGGGCAGTATGAGTGCCACTGAAAATCCGCTTGCGTGCTGCCTTTTGGCACGCGTGCCATAGGTTGCCTACCCCTGGACTAGAATAAACTGTCTGTCTTTGTATACCAGGCCATCAATATACTTGGCAGTTTTCATAACACATTGAACAAGTTAAAACATGGTCCTTGCCCTGAAGAGTTTACAGTCTAAACGGACTAGAAAAAACATTCAGAAATTAACTCAGAAGGGAGTGGGGGAGGGAGAGGAAGGTTCAGTCATTGAACCTCCTCCCCCGACACAAAGAGAGAAGATGCACAGCCATTAAGCTGTCTGTGGAGTTGGCTTGCTGCCTGCCTAGCATAAGTGCATTTAAAAATTACTTTTTTTTTCTTTTATAGTTGCTATGGGTTTGTTTGTTTAATTTTATTTTTTTCTTGTGTAACTTTAACATTCCCGTTTCAATGCTAACCTAACATTACAAAAAACAAGTTACTTAGCAATTATTTTAACTCAGAAAAATGCAAACACCAATGAAATGAAGCTCTAAAAATGAAAAAAATACCTTTTTTTTAGTAATTAGGCATAAGTGTCTGTCTATTGGAGACCATGAAGTCTTACACTTTTTTTTTTTTTTTTTTTGGTTACCATTGTTACTGTGCTAATAAATTAGTGCTTTAAAATATTTGACCATCTTTGACAATATTTGACTGGTGAATTGACCAACTATTTTTGGACCAGTCAAATGTCCAAACTTAGACACAACTTTATCTATGAATGATGCAGTTCCCATCCCTTGAGACAGGAATGGACAGGAGATATACTGGCTTCCCAGCATTCTGGAGAGCCACAAAAACAGCTCCTGTAGCAGGCACATCTTAGAGATGAAAAAATACTTGAAAACTGTTAAAATGCTTATAAGTGGCAATAAAATCTATTATCTCTATATCCTTATACTGGAAAGCATATACAAGTTTGTAATCCTTTTCTACAACATCCAGCATCTTAAAATAAATAACTCAAAAAACCTAACTTATATTCACCTAACGTGCTGCTGTGTTCTGCAAAGTGGCTACCTAAAAATGGCAGCTTCTTACTCGACACATCTGCCCTGTGGTTTCAGAGTCAGACTTCCTGACTCTAGTGCCAAAATAAGCTTTTACCACTTTACTGCTTTGGCACAGCTTAGGCAGCAGAATGATGAGACAAAGCTGGGTTCTAATACAAATAAACAATAATGATGGTCTTCCTAGTGAATGATTGACTTGGTTCCAGCTAAAGTTCTAGTCAGTTGTACCTGAACCAGATTCTTCTTCTTGGCATATGCGCAACATGCCTCAAGTGGCATGTGTCTAGGTTTCATCACCGAATTGGTCCACTGGTTGGATCATTAGCTTCCCCAGCCCAGGCACTGACTGGGAGTGCGATGTGAACGCTGATCCATGCCCTTCTGAAACAGGTTGAGGGCACGGGGGAAGTACACAAGTTTTCACTAAAGGCATTATTTGGCCAGCAGAAACTTTATTACCAGTGGTGTTGTGTAAGAAAGGAAAGAACCCAGCTTGACTTTCAGAGCCCGGGTTGATTTCTGTAATGAAGTTAGGAAGAAGAATCTTGTAAACTGAGCATGCATGATGTGGGAGTCACTGGATTGCAGTAAACATGGAGCCCCCTACCTTGCCATTTTCATAATCTGCTTTCAGCATAGTACTTTAAGTATTCATGCTTATTAACTTGCTTTTTAAAGATAATCGCTTTCTGATTAAGGAACACAAAACAAAGAGAAGGGGTTGGGGGGAGGGGGGGGAACCTTTTGACCGAAAAGGTATTGTTTGCCAAGAATGAGGCTCTTTGATTAATTATCCCTTTGCAGTCCCTGTCTACTTCCTCATCAGCTTTGTTCCAGATATGATCCCACCCAGCTAACCTATCCCTTTCCTACAGTAATGCTCTTCCGCCTTCCCAAGTGTCCCACTGACCATGCCTTCCAGAATCTCCAGAGATTTCAACAGAGTTGTTTTGTGTGGAGTCTGCATTTTACTGTGGTATAGATGTGATTTCCGCGCCCCCCCCCCCCCAAGTAACTTTAATTTGAAAAAATGCATTTGGTTTGTTATGTTAAGATTTATTTCCCTCATTTGAAATCCATGCTATATGGCTTTACTTAAATAATTTTGGACCACATCTTAGTTAAGATCTTGGAATTGTGGGAACATGTCAAATTCTGCAGTGTTGAAAAGGCAAAGGAATGAACATGATTTAAAAAACAAAACAAAACAAAAACCAACCAAACAAAAAAACTTCTAGAACAGGGGTAGGTAACCTATGGCACACATGCCGAAGGCGGTACACAAGCTGATTTTCAGTGGCTCTCGCTGCCTGGGTCCTGGCCACCAGTCTGGGGGGCTCTGCATTTTAATTTTAATTTTAATTCAGCTCCTTAAACATTTTAAAAACCTTATTTACTTTACATACAACAGTAGATTAGTTATATATTCTACGAGACCTTCTGAAAATGTTAAAATGTATTACTGGCACACAAACCCTTAAATTAGAGTGAATAAATGAAGACTTGGCACACCACTTCTGAAAGGTTGCGACCCCTGTTCTAGATCCTATTAAATATTGGGGGAAGGGGTGTGTATAACCCTATCGCCTAAAAATGTGGACTAAGCTAGTAGTTACTACTTTGATACATCTGGGTTTTTTTGTTGTTGTTTTTTAACACCCTCCCCCCAACTTTTCCAAGAATCTTCTTATTTTGTAATCTAGTCTTAACTAGATTTTCAGAGATTATATCTAGAGGGAACCCTAGCTTGCTTTATGTATGTGATCGGTCCTTTTGAATGATAGACTTTTGAATTGGGACAGAAATGACTGTTGCATTGTTAGTTACTGATGCATGTGGTCATAAAACTATTACCTTGTGAGAATGGTGGAATTGTATTGTGCTAATAAGATAAATGTCCAAGTGTAGCGTTTACCTTTGAAAAGATCAGTTAAGATGGCTTTTTTTGCACTTTTAATACATTGCCTAAATAAACCCTGAGTCTCTTGCTTGTGTTTTTTTTTTAGTGCTAGGTTTAAGAATGTGTAGAGTGATGTAATTTATGTGAAGTGTTATGTATATTAAAAATCCTTTCATATTTTATATTGAGCCCAGGACGTTTTTATGTAACATGTAGATACCTTTATTATTATTGGAGGATTTTGTTTTCTCCAAGCACAGAATATAATTGATGTTTACTAACCTTATTTGTCTGAAACAAAGGGATGAGGTTTACATAACTTTACCTGTATTTTACATTTGGTCTATATTAACTATGCATAATACCTGTGCTACTTCACAAGATACAGGCAGTGGAAAAGCTCTCTAGGACAGGAGGCCTATATTATCCTTGTTTAGCAGCTAAAGCAATGGGACTTTGATCCCAACTTCTTAATGCTTTTGCAATAGCTATTGTAATTTTAAAATGTTAATAACATAACAAATTATCTTAAAGTATTGATGTTGTTGTTTCATTTTTAATTTCCCCCCCTCATTCATATTTCCACTACTCTATTGATTCATCTATCTTTACCTGAGATACCAAGTTTTCTGGACTATTTTAAGTATGTTATCCATATATTGCAAAAGCTGTGGCTGGCTATAAATAGCTGACAGCTATTATTTTATAAGACAGAGGGTGGGGAAGTTTGACTTGTAGGGTGACAGTGAAGCATAATTATGCTGGGTCAAAATAGTCAATCACTCTGAAACAATGTTTCCCTGTCCAAACGCCTTATAATAATCTTTAATTCCAAAAATAGATCTGACTTTGAGTTTTTGCATTCACAAATTATCTAAAATCAATTCAGATTATTTTTCTAATCCATTCCTCTCTCCTATGTAGGTTTGTGACTACTGAGTGCTGATACAGAAAGGTTGTGAGCAGTGAGGAGTTAGGTGGCTTTAAAAAAACTCAAACTCAGTGACTTCAGAAAGAAGTCAGGAAACTTCTTATACAGTATCTGCACCAATTAAAGATCTAGGTGGTCATTTATTGAAAGCCAAAACACTTTGCTTCAATTTTGTTATTGAAAATAGACCATTAAAATTTATTTTTAATAGCTTCTGATTTATTCTGTCTCTCTGTTTTTAGAGAGAGTTCTGGAAAGGCCACGCAAATGGAGGACTACAGGGAGAAAGTAACACAGGACACCATTGGTATACATTTTACCTCGCATTTCCATTAATCATTGGCCTTTTTGTTATCCTCCTTATCATATTTCTCACATGGAGATGCCTGTTTAAAAAGAAAATCCGTAGACAGTCTGTATACATGCCTAGGGGAGCACGCGAAGCCATTGGTGATAGTGCTGTGGCTGATGGTAGAAGTCCTCTTCCCCCGCCGCTCAGCATTGTTCATTCCCCACAGGAAGAAATGTATGAAGGCAGTGGGCTGTCTCCTGGATATTTGGGCTCTCCAGATGGACGTTCAGACTCAATATCAACAAGACTGTCAAATGGTGACCCTCCTCCTTCATACGAGGAAGCCACTGCCGAAACCAGCATAAGAAATGAAATGGAGCATCACTTAGATCCACCCCCACAGTATGAAGACATTGTAAACTCCAGCTCAGCTAGTGCCATTGCAATACCTCCTGTTGTCACCAGTATGAAGTAAGGCAGGAAGAATAGTAGCAACTTTTAAAAATTACTAAGAGAATTTTGTAGCACTTTAATGCAGCTTACTACTGTTTATATAATGTAATGGACTCCTACTGTGTACCTCTTCCCTGTTTTGTTCCATCTGCATGTGTTCCCATGCCAGTTTTAAAGATGGGGGAATCCATACTGAGAATATGAAGCAGGTACAAATGTGGTCTTCTGTGCATACCTCTCAAATGTCCCTCTGTTTGAGGGTTGTCATTTATTTTAGTCTAAATGTTGCCTACGTTCCACACAAATTTGATGACCCCTCTCTTTTAGTGTTGAAAATTATTTACATCAGAATCAAACACGGGTAACAGCAAGTTATTTAAACCAAAGAGCCAGGTCCTACAACATTTTAAGTTTCTTGCATTAATATTTTGTCTTTCATTTTGGGTCTTTGTCACATATTGTATCCTACACTTGGGCCTTGGAAGGCTGAGAAAAGTATTTTGTGTGTAAACAAACATCAACCTAGCATATTCACCCAGAATATGATACTTCAGGGATTGCAGTAAGTGAGACTAAGAAATTTTGGAACACATCAGCTGTACTTGTACAGAGGGCAGTAATTAAGTGAATTTTGCAACTGGAAAAAACGATAGCCTAATGTTCTTATCCCCTCTGTTCTCCATCCTCCCTTCCAGTTAGTCCTGTTTATGATGATGTCTTGTTTCCGGAATGTCTGATTTTTTTTTTTATTATTATTTATTTTTATTTTAAGTGAATTTTAGTTCTTGTGAAAGGTACTAAATTGACAGCTCTAGAAATTAAAGTTCCCTCTGCACTGCAGACCAGTGAATGCACTGCCTCTGGGCACACAGTAACAAACCAATGTGCCTCATCACTGACATGCAGAAACCGCCTAGAAGGGGATGATCATAGTTTACTCTTCATGCCAACACAAATAGTGGTCTCTTCTGAGTCTGCCAACAGGTCTTTTATTTATGTGGCTTTCTTTCCCTACGAAATGAATGGTGATCACTCATTTCACGTAGGCCATTAAGCAGTTGTCAGATAACCTTTAGTTATTTCCAGTCTGCTCTGGATTTATGCCAATGACTGAAAGTTGTAATGCTCAGTATTCCACTACCAGTCTCTTGAACCAACCAACCCCCTGTTTTAACTGTCTAATGTTTCTGAACTACATTATTTAGTAGTTGCAACATCGTGCAGATATTTATTTGCAATAAAGAAATAATGCTGGTCCTTTGAAATAAAGAGATCAAATGTTCAGTGATCCATGATGACAACTTTCAGAACTATGCTGTTGATCGAAGACTCCACACAAGCACAATTTTAAATTCACTGGCCAAAAGTCTCGGTGAATGCAATTTACATGGCTAAACAAAAAACTGCATAAAGCGGTCATTTAAAATGTTTTTTCCTCTACTAAGACCATAAGTGCTTTTTCTCGTATGCTGGAATGATTCCAAATTACAAAAAATATTTTTTTAGCATTAAAAGTTAAGGGTTCTATTAAATGTAACAAGTTATATAACTTTTATTTTATGCTTGGCCTTTCTGATATGATTAAAATGACAGTTTGTCTTGTAGTGATTTTTATAAAGCTTTTATTTTTTCAAAATATAGCTTCTACTTTTTCTTCAATTGTAATTACATTGTCCTGCAATAAATGTGATGGTAAGATTTACAGCCTTACCTCTCTGAATGTTTTACAAGTAAGAACATGCAGTTCTCTTTTGATTGACTGCCAGAAAATTCAGGGTGTTGCACTCACTGCTTTGACTAACACTAACACTGAGAGGTGAATCTGGTACAGAACTAAAATGATTTGTTTACTAATGACCAACATGGAGATGCGTGACTTGTTTAAGAAATTATGGAAATCAGATGATTGTTTAATTTTGGACACCTGTGGGGAGGTAATTCCGTCTTCACTGCGTGTAAATAACCTATTTGATTACAGTATTAAAACTTTTTTTAAAGATCTGGTTTACATTAAATTATGGTATTTAAACATTTTGCTTATGTTTATAGATTTTTTTTTTGTTAATGTTTTTGGCATGCTAAATAAAGCTATTCTTAAATTCTTTTAATGCCTCTATCAATTCTGTGCAGTTGGAACAAAAATAACATTGATTTCTGTAACAGAGGTGCTGTATTAACTTCCATTGTCTCTCGTCTTGATGAAAATGTTTTATATCTCAAATTTTAAACTAATTAATTTTAAAGCAGAAGAACTAGTACCATCACTAAGTTTTTAAATTAATATATATATGAAATATAAAAACAGTATCTTAGAACAATGGTCAGCTGGAGCAACATTCAGAGAAAGAATGGAGATTTTCTCACTGGTATATTTCAAGGGGACAAAGCATTCTAGAAAGTTTAAGCACTTAATTCCATGAGAGTGGATTCAGCCACACTACTATTGTGTAATTTATGAGAGTCTTAGCCCAGAATACAGTGCAGATTAGAAGAAATTGGTTGCCTTGCCCACCCAGCTGAGGCAGAATTTTATATTGATAGCAGACAATTAGATCCAGTACAATGAAAAATCCTGCAGCTGCACAGTATGCCCCAACCATATTCCCTAGAAACCAAAGGAATCTTTATAGTGCTAAGCAACAGAGGTTCCTGTGGCGCCTTTGAGACTAACAGAAGTATTGGGAGCATAAGCTTTCGTGGGTAAGAACCTCACTTCTTCAGATGCAAG